AAGCCGAGGTCATCGCTGCGAACCAGGCGCTCAGAGCAGAGGGATTGCCGACGCTGTCGCTTTTCTGCCAGCTCAGCCTGTTTGGGAAAGAAGCACATGGGTATGCTCAAAAGGCGGGAAAAGCCTCCCTTGATGTGCCCGATGGCATTGTCGCTCGCATCGACCCCGAGTTGGATGAGATTCGGTACGGAAATGTTGATGCGGGCACAAGTGTAGCGAACATCAATGCCCTCACTGTGCATCTCAGTGATAAGTGGAAAGTTAAGCTGATGGAAGACAATCAGGCCACGATCGCTATCCTGCAGCAGGGACACTCACAGAAGCTAAGGCACACGGATAGGACCCAACGCATTAGCTTTAGATGGCTCCAGGAGCAATTCGTGAATAGGCAGTTCGAATTAATCAATGTTGACACTACCCTCCAAGCTGCAGACATCTTGACCAAGGCGTTTGACAGCACCCCAGTGTGGCACCATGCACTTGAGCTGATCGGTATCTCCCCCAATCGCCAGGCGCGAGCCTGTGCCACCAGTTTGCTGCTCTCCCCATGCGCCAAGGCCGGAGAAGTTAGTGATCAGGGGGGGCAGATCGCTGCGTTATGCAACGTTCAGCCCAAGCGCCTCCTTATTGAATTCTGTTGTTCGACGACCTCACGGTTGGGCGAATCAAGAGACTCTTCAAAAGGTTGTCGTGTCATTCGGGTAACTGAAACCGAAGACGGGTGCTCTGATACGTGCAGGCAGTGGTTAGTCCATGAAATTGCCGAATTCAGGAGCAAGAATCCTAAGGGTGCAATAATGTTCTATGTCTCGTTGCCATGCACTGGAGGATGCCCGTGGGGTTATGTCAACCAGCAAACTCCCAAAGGTGCCGCCAAGATTGAGGGCCACATCAAGCAATTCCGATCACTGTTGAGAGGGTTCAAACGCATTCTCAATGATGTCTATTCTGATGACGTTAGAGTTGCCTTCGAACTCCCCAAGGCGTGTCGTTATTGGAAATGGCCCGAACTATGGAGTTTCTTGACTAAGTACAAGATGAACAAGTACGAATTCCATGGTTGCAAAATCGGCATCAAAGGGAGAAATGGAAAACCTATGAAAAAGCAATGGGTCGTTGCCAGTAATATGCCCACTATTTCCGTGGTTGAGTACTTCAAGTGTGATGGTTCTCACGAGCATGATGAAAGCCGTGGCACGTATTTGAAGGAAGCCGAGGGATACACGTACGTTTACACTGATGCCGTTCACAATGCATTTTCCGAACATGCCACCATGCAGCCGTTGCTTTCGAGTGATTGTGCTGCATCCTTTTCGCAATGAGCAGCGCGACGGCTATGGCGCATCCCGCGAGGGATTGCGATCCGGCATGGAGGAGGTGGATGGAGAATGTCGCTACCACATCGGTATGCACGAACGGCAAATACGACGCTAACCTCGCCGCCACGGTCAAGGGCCTCCTCGAGACGACCTCTGCACAGTCGCTTATTCATACATGGGTGCAGGACCAACCCCACTACCTGCAATTGCTTACACCCCTGTTAACTATAAGCGAACCGTACTTGAAGGTTTTGCAGGCCCCACGTGTACCAGATCGCGACCTACTTATCTATGTGACTGTCGCTGATTCAGGACTGTCCATGGTTTCGGGCAAGAAGCGCAAGCTTCGCAAGTACGACTTTGCGGAGCGTTTGGATGCCTCTCGCCCGGCGCGTGTCGGTGCATGGAGGTCAGAAATGCTTTGGGGCAAGGGCTTACAGCAGCTGTGCAAGCGGTTGGCCGCCCTCATCGACGAGGTGCGTACCGACCACCCAGCTGCCACCATCATTCCGATGATTTACTGGAATGGCAACGAGCTCGTTGGGAAGGACGGCCTCGAGCCCACGGGTACATATCCTTATGATACCCCCACCGGCGATGCCGAACAACTTCTTGCTGACTCCAAACGGCACCTGGCTTGGACCAGGGACTTCGCGGCCCGCAAGGGCTGCGCATGCCTTGGAGTCATGACCGGCGCGAAAAGCTATCTCTACGGCTTCTCTATGATTTGGGACCGTTTCATGACGGAAGTCCGGGATTACATCATCGGCGACCCCAATCATATGTTCGTGTACGTAGATGCTACACCCTTTGTCGAGACCATCGATTTGCTGGACAGGTATCATATGTGCTTCAGTGACGACAACATCACGAAGACCGTCCAGTTCATGCGCGGAACCCATCACATGTTGTATATGCTTTCCATCTTGCGCCCCGCAATGGGCAGCGTAGCCGAGCTGACACGTTCGCATGATTGCACCATGCGCCCGATCGATGTGCTCGAGGTGCGCCACCAAGAGGATTGCACAGTCAACGTTGAGGTTCTCGCGTACTGCAAGGAGACGCTAACGAAGTGCGGTGTATCCTTGTCAGAGATGATTGGGCTCCCTTTCACCCGTGAAGAAGTGGTCGTGGAACGGAAGGATGCGGGTACGTGATGGATGAGGACGGCTACATGGACCTCGAAGACCTGGGACTCGCGCTTCGCAAGGAGCTGCGACATCCCATTCCATGGAATATTCAGAATATCATGGACATCTTCAAGCTGGACAAAAAGCAGAGGTTCATTGCGCTTGGTTGCCCGGACGCAGGCCGGTGCGGAGACGTCCCATGTTCGCATTGGCTTTTCAAGATAAAGGCCTCTCAAGGACATGAGGACTGGCTCCAAATCGACGACTCCGGCATCGCGAAGGAGTGGTACGTGAACCCGGGGACTGACCTCGGGCGCTGGTCTGGCTGGAACGTCTGCAGCAACCCTCCTACGGTGCTCTATCATCGCACCGATAAGCGGAACTTCGCCAGCATAATGCGAAACGGACTGCTTCCAGGAGGAGGGGACCAGCACGAGACAGGCAGACCTCACGTTTTCTTCGCTGACATTCCGAGCACGAATGAAAATTACATCTCAGGTGTACGTGCTAACAAGCCCTTGGAGATACAGATCGACCTCAGGATGGCCATTCGCGCAGGGCTTTGCTTTTTCAAGACGGAGAGCGATGGCGTCCTTACGCGCGACAAGGTGCCCAACTACACGATTATTTCTGTATTGGACGCTACAAATGGCGATGTATGGTACACTCGCTCCGAGCAATCGGATGCAGGTGCACCAGCTGAGGCGAATGAGGATGAATCGCAGGGGATGAAGCGCGACCAAGCCGTGGTTGATGATCGATCTACAGCGCTGGAACGTATTGCTACAACCCGCACCAATGTGGCGTCTCCTCGCGCCCCACAAGGGGAAGCGAAGAGACAGAAGACTTTCAACCCAATGGAGAACGTTGAGCTGAATGTCGCCACGTGCCCGGTCTGCAACAACAGTGTGTTCGAGGGGCAGGTCCACTGCTCGTCATGTGGGCAGTTGTCTCCCCTCAATCCTCGGCTGCTGAAAGAGCAGCAGAGGAATTACATTGTGCAGCGTTCCAATTTGCTGAAGAAAATGGGCCTCAGCACCCATGTCACAGCTCAGGTTTTGGCATCCGTGGGAACTTTTGACCTCCGCGAGGAGGATCGTAGCAGCATCATTCGTGGCTTGAACTCCCCGGACAGTGCTGTTATTCAGGAAGCCCGGAAGAAGCACAAGTCCGCTCTGAAGAACGGCTACCACTCTCTGCTTGATCGCTATGAACTCGACCTTCAATACAGGGTTCGTATGCTTGAGGTGGGCCGTCGGGAGGCGGACATGCTCCGCATGGAGTTGAGTGCAAATCTCGTCTTGGCTGCTCCAAAGCAGTCGCAAGCCCAGCGCACTCTGGGAGTTGGCCTTGGATCAACTTCGGAGTCGCGAATCGCAAGGCTCGCGTATATCAAGACGGAGTTGGAGTTCTTGCCCAACGAACTCCAAGATGCGCTTTCCTCTCGCTGGATCATTATGTTCCAAGGGATGCCTTATAGCCCAAGGGCTTTTATCAACGTTGTCTTTGAACAAGACAAGCCTCGCAGCATTGGTTGTTGGAATGGCATCATCCATTTGCGAAGCAACACGTTGGAGGACCTCCGCAACGAGATGGACTGGATTTTCAGCCAGAATGAGCGTTATGCTCGTAACTCGATTGAATTTTCGAGGAACGAGAGCAGCAAGCACCTCGCTCGCAACGCCGCTCGCTATGCCGATACACGTGCTCCCGCCGCCCGCGAGGGTGAGCATTGGAGCCAAGGCAGCTGGCAGAACTGGTCCGGATGGAGCGGATGGGACAACAGTAGCGGAAATTACTCTACGTGGCAGTGGCGCTAAAAGCGCAACTGTCATGGTTTGCATGTGTCAATGGTTCCCCTGACCTTCTCCCTCTGTTGTGTTACTGTTTGGCTGCTTTGTGAAAGGCCCCTTTAACACGCAGAGGGGGGTGAAGAATTTGATCGGTCAGTTTGGGGTTTTACATCCATTGCATCCGCAGTGTGGCTGTTCAAGCGTAAAAATGTGCGAGCAGCGCACTTGGACGGTTTGTTGTTTCCTTTTGGGCCCCAAACCGGTAACCCTTGAATCTATAGTTCTGCAGGTGAGGTATCGCTCGTTGGTGGTTCCCTATTGGTTCATTGCTGCAGTATTCTGGGCTGCTCAAACGGTAATTTGCAACAACAACATGGCTGAAACCAGTGACCTGACTCCAAGCATGAATAGGATTGCTCCTTTTTGAAGGTTGATCTGCCCCCCAAGATGCATCCTTTAAAGTGACGTTCCCTCAGTTGGCAGACGCAAGCCTTCCTGATAGATGTTTTTTTTTTCCGCCTAGAGGTCCAAGACTTCTGCCACTCAGCTCTTTCCCACTTGCTTGCGATTTGCAAACTCGCAAGGCGCAAGTGGATTCAGTTCTATCATGTTGCCCTAAGTTTCTACTAGACCGCAAGTGGATTCAGTTCTATCGTGTTGCTCTACTGCGTGGGTTTTCCTGCAATCTGCAAGCTTGCCGTTTCCTATGCAATCATTCCATTCCCACGTAAGCACATGGGAATGGCCGCACGTGCCAGGCGATGGCTGGGGAGGCTGGGACGACCCGGGTGGTGTGCTCAGGATGCCGCCGGAGCGCCATGGCGGGTCTGATGGGTGAAGCCAGGAATAGGCACCACAGGTTTCAGCCCGTTCCATGTCCCAGGGCAAGCCTTGACTGCTATTGGGTTGGATCTTTAGACTTTAACCTTTTTGGGAAATCAAGGGCTTTTCCACTAAACCCCCAAGAAGTTAGACTTTCTGCGCGGGGGGAAGGGTCAGAAGCAACGAAGAACACATTTTGGGCACTTTTTCTTTGGACCCAGATCCAAATGATCCAAACAGGATCCGCCCCCATTCGATGCGCAGAGGGGGGAAGCCTTTGCCGATGTGAACGAATGTGGAAGCTCCCGGAAGGCCTCTGTAAATGGAACTAAGTCTCCCAAAAAGGGCTGGGAGCTTCCATGGAATCCTCTGGAGGTACCTCTACGAACTCCTTGTTGTGGTTTTGCTTTGGGATCCCCAGGGATTCAGTCCCAACTCCCCTAAAAAGAGTTCTGTACTCAGAGCCGTTCAAAAAATATGGAGTCTGACCCAAAAAAAGTCCGAACCATCCAACTGGTGGGTTTCTTTCAGGCGGGCTGAGCTTCAGGTAACTTTCACGCAGACCTCCAAGTCCGTGGCCACTGGGATGCCACTTCGGGGGCGACAGAACTCTTTTTCGGGGATTTGGACTGAATTTGTGGTCCCAAAGCAAAACCACAGGCTTGATTCTCCCAAAACCTCTCGTGATTCCATAGTGCGACCCGGCAAGAAAGATATACTTTTTGTAGACAGCGGGCGAAACCCCCATCCCCACGCCACAGTATTGAACCCCTTGTGCGCAGGCGTGCGCGTGGCTGTCGCGGCAAGGTTTCTTTCGCGATTACCACTTTCTCATGTTAATGGCCCCTGGCGTGAGGGCCGCCGGTACGTCACTTTCCACGTACCCAAGGAGAACGATCGGGAGTTGTACATGGTTCTCCCCCGTCATACTGTGGATACAAAGGCGAAATCCATTTCGCACCACCTAGGAAATTCTGGTTTTTGATTCGATTCTCCTGCGAATACCAAGGGGGATGAGCGAATTCCTGCACCACCTAAGAAATTCTGGAAAGCAAATACCAAGAGACGTTATGGTTTTAATCCCATAGGTTTTCATTTCGTGGTGCGATTTCGGGATTTCGCATCACAGTGGACCTGAGAACCTCGTTGCGCCACGACTCGCGCCGAGCCCTCTGGAACGCCTGCGCGGCCTGGCATGGCAAAGGCGAGGGGCGGATCGGCGCGCGACTGAGGGATCGCTTCGGGGCCTCCTTGGAGGGTGGGAGGGGTTTGCCCGGGCCCCCCCCCCCACAAGAAAAAAAAAAAAGCCTGGTAGTGATGGTCAAACCGGCTTCGGGGTTGGAAGGGGCCCCAAGTGAATGATGAAGTGGCGGGTGACTTAGATCGCCCACTCGGAAGTCCTAAACAGCGTTCGTGGGATCCGCGTTGCCGCTGTGAGTGGGGGCTCTGGCGGCTAACCACTCAGAACATCCAAGCAGGCCTGTGAGTCTCCCAAAGGACATCTGCAACATTTTGGCGATGGTGTTCAGTAAGGAGTGCCGTGTGCAAGATGGCTGGTGGCTGCCAAGGTTCCCATGTAAATGATGTTGACCCACGTGCCCAATTGAGACTCGTGCCCTTCTGCTTGAGTTTTTCCGGCCCCCCCCCCCCCGTGCTTGCTTCTTTTGTTTCTCTCCAGCTGATGGGCTCTGAAGCGAGTCGGCAAACCCTAAAACAAGAGCCTTATTTGTTGGTTACGGTGGTTATTGGTCCAGTTACCTCTTGAAAGGGATCAACATCAGCAGACCTTCTTGGCCGGCTCGGTTCATTTCCTGCTCGGTTCATTTTGGACCTTTGTAGTAGCCCCAGTGCCCTGTGCGGCAGAAAACCCTGGACAATGGCTCGCACTGAAACAACATCAGCTTGTGTGTCTTGCCACGCCTTTGACTTGCTTATGGTCTCAGCCTTTGCTTCTTCCCGGTCCGCGGTGTTGTTTGTTGTTTGGGATTGAGGGTTTCAGGTCTCGGATGGTCAACCGTGCGATCAATAGGGGGTGCTTTCAAAAGGAGTGGCAACACATATGGACGAAGCTATTTTTTCTACTTGGCCCAGCACCTGACTCCTCAAGAAGTTGGCTTTTGAGGGCGTATTTGATTTTCAAGAAAATCCCCTTCAAAAAAGAAACCGGGCAGAGGTGTGGATTGAGCGATTTATAAGGCCTGGGCTTATCCCAAGCACAATTTGGCGCGAATGGACCATAGAAGTTTTCCCTCAAAACCCAGGATTAAGCCCCCCAATGCACCCCTACACTACTTCTTTGAGTGCATTGATTCTTGGGGAGGGGGATCCCCCAGTAGTCAAATCTGGTCACCTGGTCAGAAGGTTTCGGGAAGGGGCGTGGGTCTGGATTTCCGGCGCCGCGGAACTTCGACAAAGTTCTTCGCAAGGTGGGCAAAAACTGCTCTTGATTTCAGGAATGGATTCGGAACTTCGACCAAAAGGTTCTGCGGAACCGTTTTGATGCTTGTTGCGTTTGCGCTACAGCTTCGAGGAACCCTTCGAAGATCACTTGCACGGAGCTCCCCTTTTCGACAAGTGGTATAGCTGTCCAGACAGCCCACCCCTCCCATTTCTGTCTCATCTGGGCCAAGCGTTCCTTTTTTGTGGGTCTGTGCGGATTCAAAAGAATTTCCCGAGTGGTTGAAGGATGTAAACATCAAAATCTAATGTTTTCCTTCCATTTGCTTAAGAATATTTGTGTGTTTTCCCCTGCTGGTTTGAAAGGGAATCTATCACTACTGGAAATGGTTTTATGTTTTTCCAGGGGTCTTAACCAAATGGAAGTTGTTGGATGAAAAGGGCACCAGCTTTTGGTCTGTTTTCTCGGACAGGCGGCTGTGGCGGCTATCCCGCCGGCTCCATGGGCGGGTGTGGGGTCTCAACGTCTCAGCCGGCTTCGGGGTAACCCGCCCCCCCCCCCCCCCCCCCCCCCCCCGAAAAGGCGGGTCCAGGCATGTCTGGCAAAAAACGGTACCCGTTTTGGGGTGGGTTTGAAGGGACACCCAAAGAACTCCAACCATTTTGCGACCCCCCCCTGTTTTGACACCATCTCTTGTTATACAGTTATTTTCAAGCCCGCCCTGACCGGAAAATGAGGGTTCCATGGAACGCCTTCCTTTTGGAGAAACGAAAAGCCTAAATCAATCGTGTATTTGGAAACATGTCAGCCACTCCTGCTGTTCTCCTTAGATCCCGGTTATGAACAACTTACTAAGTGGACGGAGATCTTTCAGTGCGCTCTGCGTAACAAAATGTAACAAATTCAACACGGGGACAGTGTCCACAGTATGGACACCGCCACGGTAGAACCAAATGTCAATGTTGCACTGCTCACTTGGATTATAGAAGCTGTGGAAGGGTACCAGACCTGTACAAGAACGCAACAATATGCAGCCTTGGTTGGGGCGGCACCCAGAAGGTAGTCCGTCCATGATGGGACTCAGATCCGATATTGTTCTGCGTGTGAGAGTTGGTAGAGACTTCTTTGTTCTGATCGGTGTTTCTAATTGTTGGCAACCCTTTTTGACTCAATTTGAATGGTTCCAACAGCCTCCTACCGTCCAATGCGAGGCAAATCCTGGTTGGCACGGTCAAGAGCTATAGCTCCGTCAAGGGCTTTGGGCGCCTGACTCAGGGGCAGGGTCCAGGCCCAGGCAGATGTGGGATTTGTTGCCCGCTGTGCGGTCTCGTGATTGGTATGGCCCTTGTGCTTTCCGATGAGTTTCCTTGCCATACCCAGAAAAAAACCTCAGTAGCCTAGAAAGCACAAGACAGAGCTGTCCAGCTTTGGGCTTCTGGTTGGCAATCAGTTTTGGTGTCCCCGGAAGGCAAAAGGCGAATCGCTGATTTCCAGGTCCTTTAAGCTGAGGGGCGTTTTGGAGTCAGATCGAGGTGACGCTCCCATTCCTTCCAAGGACCCTTCTTTCCAGCAAACCAGCAAAAAGCCATGGGAAACAGCTGGTTGAGAAAAGGCAGTTTGTTAACCATGAAGGCTCTGTGGCTTGGATTGGTTTTGAGGATTTGAATCCCTGTCTCTTGTATTGGGTAAATGGGAAACCGCCCCAACCTTCCTCCCCCCCCCCTCCCGCGCCCCGAATCACCATCCTCCAAACTTCCCTTTTTGAGGGAAGCTGAAGAAGCCTCGAGTGCAAACCTGCGAGCCTCAGGTTCCTGATCCATTCGGACATTGCGCAGGCAGGGTCTCGGGGTCTCGCGCCAGCGGCGCAAGCGACGAGCTCGAGGGAGTCCGATGAGCATTTGCACTGGGCTGCGCTTGGGCCACGGATCTTTGGACCTTAGCTTTTCGGTGGAAATCAAGTGGCGCGTTTTCCACTCACCCCCCCCCAAAAAGTTAAAAACAAAACTTTTGGCAGGGGGGGCGTTGCAGCAACCAAGTGGAGGGGTTCTGACACTTGCTTCGATCAAGCCGGGTGTTCAGGCTCAAAGTTCTGCACTGGTTCACTGGCTAGGGTCCAGCTTGGGGGTAAACCGAGCTCTCCCATGAATGGAATTCGGCAGGTTTGGTTTGTAGATCATCTCGGAACTATTGCGGGAAGAATGCTTGACCCAAGATGACCCGAGATCAGTTTTTGAGTCCTTCAGATGCCTTTCGAGGGTAGCCCAGGCACGGAAGTGGGCCATGGAAAGCGGAGCCGGAGCCCCCCCCCCCCCAAAAAAAAGAAAAAAGACCCTGAAATGCCCTTCAGGCGGCAAGGCCTGGGTCAGGCCTTCTATCCTACGTTCGTTTGACGACTCCCTGGCTTAGTTTTCTTCTTTTTTTCTGATGAATGCCTTAAACACTCACTAGAAGGGTTACTTGAATTGGAACCACAGACATAGTCCACATTAACAAGTTTGCACACAGGGGCAGCAAAGGGCAAGCCACAGCCATCAGAGGGTGTCGCCTTTCAGGTCGCGGATCCTCCACTTTTCAAGCGAACACCCGCAAGGTGAAGAAAAATCTGACCGAAGCGCCCGATGCTTCGCAGGACATTTGGTTCGCAAAGGAAACGGTCGCTGCGGAGTACAGGAGAGGGCTGGGTGCCGGGGAGGCTGCAGCAAGGCGGCGGACAGGCTTCGATTTGGAAAGCTGACGGTTCTTTGGGACAACTGTGCGCTTGGAACCGGGGAAGGTGGCAAGCGACAGCGATCGACAGGGACCACTTCCTGATTCCTGTGTATGTGGATTTGAGTTTTTGGATGCGCGTTTCAGCAATAAACAGCGCGTTCAGGCTTCGCGCTGGTATGGAAAGAGGGCAATGCTTCAATCAAGTGGATCGGGCCTACGGAGCTAAGGAGAGAGGACAGGGTAGAGGCCTTATCAACCATGGCAATCTGGACAGTTTTCAGCCACTGTTCCAGATTGCAAATGGAATCGGACAGGGTAGTTTTGCTTTCAGCCATGGCAACGCGCATCAGTTTGGATTTCCAGGGTTTTGGCGGTTGCGATCCTTGAAGGGAAAAAATGGCAACCCAGATGAGAATGGCAACCAGGTTTCTCGCAAGCAAGCCCAAACTAGGTGTCATTTGACCAAGAAGCTTGGGGTTCATACCAGCAGTTCAGATATACGCTACATAAGGTTGCACATTCAGCCTTCGGCAGGGTACAAAGACTCCTTTCAAGCTTGGGCTGACAGGGCCCAAAAGTCATGTTCCTACCCTTGGAGTACCCACACGCTTCAGGCTTGTGCATTACAAAAAGCTGCCTCCATCCCAAGCCCTCCCTTAAACCAATCCAGACCCTTTTCATGTTCCTAAACCTTAAGCCAGCTTTCCCAAATCAAAAGCTGCTATACCCTCCCACCTGCCTAGACCTTCCTAACCTGCCTCAAGCTCACCTAAAACAGCTTTCCGAGATTCCTAAGCCCTAACTCCTCACCCCCCAAACCTTGGCTTAGCCTATTTTCCGTTAAAGGTGCCGTTTTGGGTGCCATGCTGGACAAGAGGGTACTCCTATGCCTTGCTAAACTTGCTGGTGCTCAGCAGAGAATGAGGGAATGAACCATTTCGGGGTCCCCTGAAAGGAAACCACCAGTTGGATAGTTTGAATCGGGGTGATGAGCCATTTCTCATTCCCTGTCTGTCGCAGCAGCAAGGGAAATAACCTTAACTCTCATGGGACCTGCTTGAGCAGCTGAGCTCCTACATGTTTATCTTGATTTATAGCTAAACCTTCCAGTCAACCTCACCTCACCTAACCCCCTAAACCCTAACCCTAGCTTCTCACCCCCTGTCAAAACCCTTAGTTTCGCCCTAGTGGTCCCTTTTAAAGGGACCCCAGGTCCCTCAGTAGTGCCCTTCTTAACCCCTTTTTTTGGGGGAGGCTTCCCCTCCTAAGTTAGACACTACCCCCCCAAAAAAAAAGAAGAACACAGACGAAGTTGGCACCCTTATGCTAACCTCTCCACTGGAGGACCGTTTTGGGTCGCCTCTGGCGCCTTCCCTCCCTCCCGACGCGCCACTCGACCCGCCGGCCTCGCCCCCCGCCTCGCCTCGCTGGAGGACCTCGGACCTCGCGGGCACCAGCATGAGCTTCGAGCTCATCCGGGCGCAGGACGGCAAGCCCCAGGCGCTCGCCCCGCTCGGGTTTTCGGGGGCGGGGAGGGACCGGAGGCGCCCCCCAGGGGTGCAGCGGGGGAGTTGGCTACTCCCAAAAAGCAACCAAAAAAAGCGACCCTTTGGGGGAAAACGGGGGCGCAAGGGGTGCATGGGGGAGTTTGATGCTTCCCTGCCAAACCCGCCCAAAAAAGCAAAAGAAGTATTCCAGCGTAGACCCCAAACAGATTGTAAGAGCACAATGATGCACTACGCAGGTCAAGCCAACCACAAATGTGTGTCTTCTTGAGGGACCGCCCAAAATTGCTTAAAAAAGAGACAGGGGGGGTGCATGGGGGTTTTTGTTGCTCCCCTGCAACCCCCAAAAAAGAAGCAACTAAAAACACAAGAGAACAACACAAGAAGGGTGCCCCTCCCCCCACCCCAAGAACAAGAAAAACAACTGACGGAAAACAAACAACAAAACAACACAAGAAGGGTTGAGGCTAGCCTCCACAAGAGGTTCAACTTGTCAACTGGGGGGATTTATTCATCATTGGCGGCGTGGTTCTTCCAGTTTTGGTTTGCGTCCAAGATGTGAAACCTCCTTAGGCAACAAGGAGGTGATGAATGGGTCGGCAATATGCGTATTTCTTCAGCCGGCATTCTGACAATGTACGCGCTAACCGACGGAAAGCTCTGGACTGTTTCGGTGAACCCATCAAAACTAGGTCCCCCAGTAGTGCCCTTTTACCAACTTTTTTGGGGGAGGGTTCCGGCAATAAAATAGACTACAGAAAAAAGGGTGGCCCTATTCTAACCTCTCTACTGGAGGACCTAGAAAACGTTTCCCGCGGCTGTACTCGTTGAGCACTCCTAGCGAGGGAAGCAGGTGGATTCAGCATCCATGGCGTCCAAAGCCCTGGAAGAGCAGATGGCAGACTTCCATTGCGTTTTTGCTGAAATGAATATTTGTTATTTTCCCCTGTTGGTTTTAAAGGGAATCTATCACTACTGGATTTTTTTTCCAGGGGTCGAAAAACCAAATGGAAGACAAGGTTTTCGAAGACTACTTGCCTCGGGAAAGCCCCCTGTCCACTTCCATGATTGGAAGAAGGGAAGCCATTTTTGAGCTGCGAGATGGCGTCGGACCCTTTCGGCTCGTTCGGGCTTCTAAGGCCGCTTGAGCCGGGGCCTGTTGGTAACTTAATCAATTCCCAGGGCGTTTTGTGCTTGGATTGCACCCTTCGAAGGCGATCCGAAGACGGGCTTTCTCCGAAATCGGAAGATGGTCCAAGATAGCCATTTGGGTGTGGGTCAAAATCAAACCACCAGGGAACCGCAGGTTGTAGTCCAAGCTTCTATTTACCAGGGTTCCGTTTTTGGGCACCTATTTTTGACCCACAGCCATTTGTTTTATTTCAGCTTCGCCGCCATGGTGTGATATACCCTCAGACAGCAACGTATGATGTGTGTGACTCATGGCCACTGACTCACGAGCCAATGATTGACCAGGTGGAGATCTGTTTGCACCCAGGGATTCTGATTCTGACTCATGTTTTCTGTATTCTTTTCTTGGGCTCCTTAAAATATACATTTTGCCCATGTGAAACATGGCTTTTTCCGCCAAAATCAAGGGAAACCGCCATTTACAAGTTGCAATGTTCAGGTGTATTCACTGTAAGGATCCCTGTTTTCTTGGTCCCCTTTGCAGGTTGGGACGTGTTTGCAGCTGAAGCATTGACATAGGGCCTCCACCCCCTTTCCGTTTTGGGGTTAGACTCTTAGCACCACCCGTGCCAACGGAGCGGCGTTTAGTGAGCCGCACGTAGGCCAGAAACCTGCGGCCTGCTCCGGTGGGGAGACTGAGAACCGAGAACCGGGTCCTGGTCGGGCACTCCGCTTTTTGTCTTCCCCGATGTCCCGTGTAGATTTTTGGGAAGCCACCCGGGAGTTTGGCCTAAATCCTGGAAGTTGTCCGATTTCCCCTTTCCCTACCGTTCTGTGTGAAGCCCACCTGGCGCCCGGGCGCGACAGCCCGTTCTTTTTCCACGTCCTTCTTGTGGGAGGCCAGATTCCCTGGGAGCCCGGCAACTTTCTGAGTGGGCCCATCTTGAGTTCCCCTTGGGCATGTGCGCAATACGCAGGGCTCCCCTCCAAAATAGATCAACATGGTAATTTTCTTAATCAAAGGAAGTTTAGAAGGAACTTCCGTGTTACGGCAACTAATTGAAAGCTAGCTCTCTCTAAGACAGATGAAGAGAAGGAACAAGCACGCGAGAAAATATGTGCGCGCGTGTGGCGGGAGTAAGGAATCTGCAAAAAGCGTGGCCCCGTGCGTGAATTGGTGTTTCCGGAGAGCTGGAAGCTAGCCTGTTCGCGGCGCCTGGTCGAAGCGCGTTCGGAGCGGGCTCGGAGCGGGCTCGGAGCGCGGGCCCATTGGCACGGCAACGCGGAGGTTTCGCAAGGCTTGAATTGCATGGCAGGCGCAGCAGTTTCGCAAGGTGAGGTGCAGATTTCGTGGCAGGCGCGGCACTTTCGCAAGGTCAAGTTTCCCAAGGTTGGAATTGCGTGGCAGGCGCAGCACTTTCGCAAGGTCAAGTGTAGATTTCGTGGCAGGCGCAGCACTTTCGCAAGGTCAAGCGCAGATTTCGTGGCAGGCGCAGCACTTTCACAAGGTCATGTACAGATTTCGTGGCAGGTGCAGCACTTTCGCAAGGTCAAGTGCAAAATTCGTGGCATGCGCATCACTTTCGCAAGGTCAAGTGCAGAATTCGTGGCAGGTGCAGCACTTTCGCAAGGTCAAGTGCAAAATTAGTGGCATGCGCATCACTTTCGCAAGGTCAAGTGCAGAATTCGTGGCAGGTGCAGCACTTTCGCAAGGTCAAGTGCAAAATTTGTGGCAGGCGCATCACTTTCGCAAGGTCAAGTACAGATTTCGTGGCAGGCGCAGCACTTTCGCAAGGTCAAGTACAGATTTCGTGGCAGGCGCAGCACTTTTGCAAGGTCAACTTTCGCAGCCGGGGCTCGAACATCGCAACTTTTAAGTACGAAAGTAGTACGCGAGCGAAGTCAACTTTCGCAGCTGGGGCTTGAAAATCGCGACTCTTAAGTACGAAAGAAGTACGCGAAGTCCACTTTCGCAGCCGGCTCGAAAATCGCAACTTTTAAGTACGAAAGTAGTACGCGATTCCACTTTCGCAGCTGGGGCTCGAAAATCGCAACTTTTAAGTACGAAAGTAGTACGTGAAGTCCACTTTCGCAGCTGGGGCTTGAAAATCGCAACTTTTAGATGCAGATATAGATGGATAGATAGATAGATCGATAGACAGATAGAGAGATAGCTAGAGAGATAGATAGAAAGAGATAGAGAAAGAGATAGAAAGATAGATGGATAGAGAGAGAGAGAGATAGATAATAGATAGATAAAGAGAGAGAGAGAGACAGAGAGCAAGATAGATAAATAAATAGACAGAGAGAGAGAGATACAGAGATAGAGAGATAGATAGATAGATAGAGAGAGGGCTAGAAGATAGAGAGATTGAGAGAGTGAGGATAGAGAGATAGATAAATAGAAAGAAAAAGAGATAGATAAATAGATAGATAGAAAAAGAGATAGATAGATAGAGAGATAGAGAGATAAATGAATATATAGATAAATGATAAACAGTCAGATAGGTAGATAGACAGATAGATAGATAGATAGATAGATAGATGGAGAGATAGATATATAGATAGAAACAGAGATAGAGAGAGAGATAGATAGGTAGGTAGATAGATAGAGAAACAAATAGATAGATAGATAGATAGATAGAGAAATAGATGAGTAGATAGAGAGGTAGATAGATAGATAGGTAGAGAGAATGAGATAGAGAGGTAGATAGAGAGATGGATAGATAGTAGATCTATAGATAATTAGAAATAGAAAAACGGATAGATAGAGAGATGGAGAGATGGATAAGCACACGTGAGATAATGAGATAGAGAGATAGATAGATAGATAGATAGACAGATAGAGAGAGAGAGAGAGATAGATAGGTAGACAGAGGGATACATAGAGAGATATAGAGATACATAGATAGAGATAGATAGATAGAGAGATAGACAGATAGATAGAGAGATCGATAGATAGAAAGAGATAGAGAAAGAGATAGAGAGATAACCAGATAGAAAGAAAGAGATAGAGAGATAGAAAGATGGAAAGAAAGAGAGATAGAGAGATAGATGGAGAGATCAATAGTTAGATAGATAAACCAACAGAAGATAGATAGACAGCTAGATAGATAGATAGAGACAAAAAGATAGACAGATAGAGAGAGAGAGAGATAGGTAGATAGATAGATAGATTAAACAAGAGATAGATAGATAGATAGAAAGATAGATAGATAGATAGATAAATAGATACATAGACAGAGAAGAGACAAAAGAAATATCAGCACAAAAGCAAGCAAACGAAAGAAAGAAAGAAAAGACAGATAGAAAGAAGGAAAGAAGGGAGGAAGGAAGGAAAGAAAGGAAGAAAGGAAGAGTGACGGAGAAAAAAGAAACAATGAAAAGGCAGAAGAAGAGAGAAGAGTCAAGAAAAGAAAGAGAAAGATAACTATAGTTTTTATTTTTTTTAAACTTCCGCCCACCGGCTTCGCCGGCTCTACTGGTATCTTATCTTCAGCAGCACCCAACTCCCCGGTTGGCAATTTCGGTAGAGAGTGTTACAATCTGTTTCGAGAAAACCAAAAGAGTGAGAGCGCACAGTGCATATATTCTTCCACAACTGCGCATCAATACTGGCCAGCATACCGATTGGGGGTAAAACGAGCTCGCCATGGTAAAGATCCCTTAGTTCGGAATCCCTTATTTCAGGTTTTGGAGTTCTTGTAAAATGTGCAGATTCCTAGCTGGGACAGAAATTCATCGCATCAGAAGTCAACATCTGGCATAACAAGGCGAAGAGGCTTCAAACTGAAATCCGTAACCCCAAAAGGTGGGAGGGACATGCAAGGGAGCAATGCTGGCTGAAGTGACCCGAGCTGCTTTTGGCTTGGTGAGGCGGCCAGGTGGGGGTCTCGTTAGCAGGACAAGCATAGCCCTCAGAGAATGCGGTACACAAAAATGCTGCCAGACATCTGGCTCCGGCCCCCAAAAGGTTCCGATGCCAGAGCTTGGACTCGCATGAATCCGGGTCTGGGCTCTGAGTCCGGCATGCCGCCGCCGCCGGTGAACCCCAACCAGCACGTGCCTGCCAGGGAGCCGAGTGACAGGATCCCGTAAAGGAGAGAGGGGCCAATGAAAGGGTTACCCGGTGACCCAAATGCCAGTGGATGTACGGAATCCCCTTGGAAATGAGGTGAGATTGGGATGCATCATTGCAGGATTCCTGTTTCGCCCCAGCTGCTTTGTGTCATTTGTTTCCAACCTTTTATTGGGTACGGGGGACATGTAAGGTTGTGTGTATATCCGGCCGTTTTGTTTATCCGGCTGGCCTTAACTCAAGGCCATGCACTGCGTGCGACATTTGCACTCCCCGACTCACTCCCAAAATCCGAACACGGGGGCAGGAAGGACACTACTTGCGACAGAGCCTCGCATTTTCTTTTGGGGCGTCGGGTAAGCAAGCCGCCCCTTCATTTGAAAAAGAATCCTTCATTTGTTCTGCGGGTGTGGCTTGTGGGCGGCTGGATATCCCATCGTTTGACGTGAGGACAAAGAAGCCAACGTTTCTGTCCCGTCGGTTCTGCAAGCCTTTGCAACAAATAGAAGAGAAAGTCACCCCGTTTCTGCCGCTCCACCTTCCCTGGAACTTTCCGTCCTGACTTGGTCAGTCCAAAGCTGATCGCCGTTTTATCAATCCAGGTCCTTTCGCCCCCCAACAAGGTGCCAGGCCACTCAAAGTGAAGAAATCTCTTGGATGTCTTTGGGGGTGGCGTTTCGGGCAGCTGGGTCACAGGTGTCGCGCTTCGACCAGCGCCCTGGTTTCCCGCCCCCGGCGCTCATGCGCCCCGGCATGCCGGGCATGATGCCGGGCATGGCCGGCATGCCCGGCATGGGCGTGGGCGTGGGCATGGGCGTGGGCATGGCAATGGGCATGCGGCCCGCAGGGAGCCGGGGCCCGAGTTTGGTGGAGTCAAGTGACCACGGCAGGGTACCCCCAATGTTGAGTTCCCTCCCTTCAGTTGGGAAGACTGGAAAATGGAGTTGGGAAGCCCACAAACTGTTCTTTGGGCCCATAAAGCGAAAGGTGAAATAGCATGTGTGTCTGTGTGTGTGTGTGTGTCTCTGTGTCTGTGTGCGGCGTGCGCGCGAGTGTCTCTCGTGTGTGTCTCTCCTGTGTTGGGGCCCGTGGGTAGCTTACCATTCCTGGGCGGCGGTCCCAAATTGCCAGAGGCTTGCGCCACAAAAGCTTCCGCGGGGCCGGGCGGTTGGGCCGAAGAATCCGCCTGCGCCGCACGCGCCGCGCCCAAGTGCCTGGAATGGCGGCGCCGGGGCAGCCGAAGCGGAGGGCCTGGTCCCCCCACGCCGGGGCCCCGATGGATCCGTGGGTCCCGATGGGTCCCGTTGGGGTCCGAGTGAAAGGGGTGATGTTGTTTTGCGGAGAAACGCGACCCACCGGGTGTCCCTCAGTTTTTTTTTGCATCATTTTGCGGATGACACGAGAGTTATTTGATGAACCCCCGGTTGATTCTTAGAGGTTGTTCCGTTTGAAAGGGGTTCCTTCACTGGTCGGGGGGGACTACCCACCTTTTGATCTGCCAGATTCGTTCATCCAGGGTCGTTCCCAGTCAGCAAGTAAGTCCCTCCGAGATTGTTTACTCAAGGCTTTCTGGCTTGCACCCCTCAGCCTGAATTCAAGGAGTTTGGGTCCTGGGGCTTCAGGACGTGGCCACATGTGCTTGAGACTTGTGCTTGGCAGGCTCCAGCATGTGTCCCAGGCGTTTTTTTTGACCCCCCCTCCCCCCCCCGAAACAGCTGAAAGAGCCCCCCCCCAAGCTCCAGGGTGGTTGGGGTTCGAGGAAGGGCTCCGAGGCTTGCTGTGGAAAACTGCTACCTGGGCTCATTCCCTTCTCGTTGTTCACCAGTGGGGGGTGGGGCGGGGGGCAGGGCGGGCAGGGGGGGGATCCTGCAAAACCTATGCACTGTCCTTCCATTTGCTTAAGAAAGTTTTATTTTCCCCTGTTGGTTTTAAAGGGAATCGATTTCACTACTGGACATAGTTTCTCATTTTTTTCAGGGGTCGAAAAACCAAATAAAAGTTGCGGACGGACCGGGGGCGGAGGTGGTGAGGCAGTTGGTTTCGCAAGGCTGGCTCCAGAGCGATCGCCACCGCCTCGAAGGATGATCAGGCTGGGGAGCTGGGTGGATTGTTTTTCTTGGAGGTTTCGAGATATATGGGTCGAAATGAAAGCACCATGAAACCACACGTTTTAGTCCTTGGTTCCATCTACCAGGGTCCCATTTTCGCCACCGATTTTTGACCCACAGGCAAAACCGTGGACACCTGGCTGGAAGGGTCCCAAAGGAAACTGACTAACATCTTTGGCCCCCCTGTCTCGAGTTGTTTTTTTTTGGGGGGGGGGTTGGGGCCGGGGGCTCAAAAGTTGCAGTGGGTCGCTGGTCCGAAAGAAGGCGAGCGCTTTTGGGCTGCGGTTCCTCGGCTCGGGTCCGTGGGTGGTTTGCACTCAGTATGGGCCTCGCAGCTGGGGGCGGGGGGGAGGGGTTGCGAATGGATTTCAAAGGGCAAGCTGCAAAAGGGCGCAGAACCTGGAAGTCCCTGCTTGTAAAATGGTGTTTCGCGGGTGTGAAATTTACAAGGGAGGGACCTTGTGAAAGGATGCGCGGCCCCGACAAGGATATCAACCAGGCGGCTGTATTGACTTCGGGGAAGAATGCTTGCCTTGAGTCCATTCTTTTAGGCCGGCAACATATCGCGCTGCCGGCGTTTCAATGGCTTTTTGCCAGCAGCTGCAGGGACACGTCTTGACATATGAGGTTCCGGTAGGAACGCTAAGTGACCTGCTGGCAGCAGGCAGCGATATGCTCAACAGTTCTTTCCATGCGCGGGGGGCGCCACCATGAATCAGGTTTGCCTGCTTCCTGGGTGACGTTTGAGATGATTTCAAGGGGACATGAGGTCCTTTTGCATCGTTCGTCAACATGAGCTGCTGTTTGTCAACAGCTACCTTCCACTGGGATTGTGCAAGGCCCCCGGCTGTGTCATTTTCCTCTTCAACGAGGAAAACAACCCCTAGCAAAACTCACCCCTCTGGTTTTCGACGTTCCTAGGTTTTCCACAGGCCTTCCTCAGCTCCTTGCCGCTTACCCCTGGTTGAGGGCTCGAAGGTCAAAGCCTTAGTGTTGAGCCGATTGTTTTTTTAGAAGTGTCATATCCTGTTTAAAGTACACGTCTCTGGTCTCCACAGGGCTATAGGGCGGATCGCAAGCTGGAAGGAACAGTTGTCCGCAAGGTTTGTCGTTCGTTGTCAGTTGATTTTGGAAAGTGGGCAGCAAGAGAAACCTGGAGATCGACCATGGATTTTGCCTGGTTTACTTGCATCTTTTCGCTGATGTCAATCTGAACATGCAGACACCTTTGGATTGTGCCAAGCGAAAGCCACACGGAAACCATCGGGATTGGCACACCCCCTTGAGCTATGTTTGACACTCATGTAGTTTTAGAACCTCCTTTGGTTCCTCCCTGAAAGGGTAGCAGGGCTTAAGCAGCTATGACGTGGGTCCTTTAGCTTTAGTTGGGGGTCCCTTACTTCAGGTTTGGGCGTTCAGCTGGCCGTGTCACGGACGAGGCTCACCGAAAGGAAAGGAATGGACGTGTGAAGTCTGCAGTCGAGTTTCTCCTTCGGCCGCCTTTCGCTGTCCCATGGCGGACAGCGATTCCAGCGAGAGCGAGTCTGAGCCAAAGCGGAGGCGTTTGGATGCGCCTTGGAGGCATGGCGGCTCCACACTGGGTCGAAGGTGGACTTAAACCCAGGGGTGGTTCATGTCAGGAGAACGCTTGGGTTTAAGTCGACCTTGGGGTAGTCAATAAGTGGAACCCTGCTTGTACCCTCCGTTGGGTTGCTTCTAAGCTCTGCTCGTTTCTAGGAAGAGGAGGGAACATGGGGCGGACTCCCCATGTCCTGTTGGTGCAATAGGAATGTTGACCGTGGATCATGTCCCCTCAGTTGTAGGCTTGGGTGACCTTGAAGCTGGAGTTCGCAATTGGCTGCACATGTAGAGAAGTACAATTTATGCAAATGTACTCATGTATAGATAGACATACACACACATATATATCTATATATGTACATATGTATATAAAAGCATACATATATGCTTTCGTGTGCGTGTGTAGCACTCTTTGCAACCGCTGTTGAGAAGATATGTAAGGAGAAACCATGCAATTTCCAGAGGCATGTGAACCAAGATCCCGTGTGGATGCTTCTTGAGTGAGCAAGCCGCGTATATCCCAAGAAGCCCACCACGAAGATGGATCCATGCCTGGATCCCAACCCGCTCGGTAAGTGGGTATCAGGGTCTCAAGTGGGACAGACAACAGGGCTTGGTTGCGAAATGATCCTTGTTGCTAAGTGCCAAAAGGGGCTTCTTAGATTGAAGTGGCATTGCCCCAAATATGCAATCCCAAGGCCTTACTTGCAACACAAAAGGGTTAAGCGGGGTTGCTAAGTGAGTGAACTTCCCAGTCCAACTGCACCGTGACCCCGTCCCACGCGCAAGGCTCGTCGGGCCAGCCTGAGGGCCCTGAGGTCTTTGTTTGGGGCCCTGCCTGAGCTTTGGGTCTGCAAAATCCAGAGCCGGTTCCAGCAGTCGTCAAATTGCTTTCTTTTTTCTTGGGGGAGGGGGAACCGGCTCGAGCATTAATCATATTGTTTGACTGGGGTGGGGGGCAACAGCCGAGGTCGGGTTTCGGCTCAAGCGACGTAGTCTGTTAAATTCGCGGCAACAGCGCACATGGGAGTGCTCGCGCTGTTCCTGGCGCTGCTCTCTGTAGCGAGGGCGGTACGGAAGACGGAAGTTGAGCACAGTTTGGAGGCGGAGGCAGGATGGGTTGAAAGCAATGGGGGTGTTTGGCCTTCAATGCAACCCCCTTGGAGGATGGCTTTGAGGGGTAAGAAGGAGTGAAAGGGCCTCCTTAAAAGGCACTTGGACTCTTGAGACTGAACGCCTTTGGCGGCTTTGGGCATAAAGCCAACAACAATGCCTTGTGAATTATTTTGTGTTGAGCCAAGGGCTGCGCCGCTCGGTGAAGGAGAATCGAAACGTTTACATCACCATCAACATCAAGGACCCGGGGTGTGGCTTGCCATGGGCCGCGAGCCAGCGAGCCGCGTGACTTGATATCCTTCCATTTGCTTAAGAAGACTTTCTATTTCCCCCGGTTGGTTTTAAAGGGAATCGATTTCGCTGACTGGAAAAATATGTCCTCATTTTTTTTCCAGGGGACTGAAGCACATGCAGGTACCCCTCAAGTGCGGCACGTTGGTCACTAGGGTTGGGCCAATCGTTCGCTCCCTTGAAGCCGGCTCCCCGTGCGGTCCTGGCTACACTCGGGTCACTTTTGCGCCTATGAAGTCTGCCCTTTGGCTCACTTCCTCAGTTCACGAACTTCAAACTTTTTGGGTTTGGACCATTTTAGTGGTAAATATAAATTTTAAAGTTCGGACTTTTTTTGGGCCATCCACTCGCAAGTGAGTTGGTGGTACTGGTGAAAGGGGGTGCTTACTGCCATTTGCGTGACTAGGTGTAACTCAGCTGCCCCTAGTTGGTGGTTTTGTGGTGAGTGGTTTCCCATCTACCCTCTACAAGAACCAGGGCTTCAGCTTCAAATTCCCAAACCACCAATCCAAGCCACCGACTAAGGGTAACCATGGTAACCAGAGCAGCGGCTTGGTTTCTTGCAGAACCCCCCCTACCCGTGAGGACGTGAGGTACAACAAGACCTACCACCTAGAGGCGCCGGAAGCTGGTCAGTGCAGTCACCTGAAGTGCACCTCGGTGGAATTCTCGCTGACCTCTAGGGCATTTCATGTCCCGTTCCACGTCTTTTTTACTGTGGATGGACGAAATCCATTTCGCACCACCTAGCAAACCCTGGTTTCGGATGATTCCCCTGTAACTGCCAACGAACAACGGTTTCCCATGGGTTCCAGTGGTGCAGGCTTTCGTCCATCCACAGCATGACGTGGGCATGATTTTGATTTAGGGGCACTTTGGTGGACATCATTGAGGGGGGGATTCATCCACCAACCGCTTAAGAGGTGGCTCCCCAGTTGAAGTTCATGCCCAAAACAACTGCCAAAAGGGTGCCCCGTTTTTCTGGATGGGAAATCCAAAGCGTTTGCTCCTAACGGCTTGGTTGGTGCCGACTTTTGTCACGATGGTGACCCTGGATGAAGAAAACTGCGGTTGGTCAACGGTGTCCCATAGTTAAGGGAATCCAGGCCGTAAGCAGTAGCAGGAAGCCTTCCCCCTGAAGTTAGTTATTCGTCATAGGGGAACGCTTTGTCCTTGAACACATCGGGACCCGCAATGTCCTCCCTTTGGGTTAAAATCTGCGTGGGGAGAACTGATAATTTGACTTTCCATTTGGTGGGCTGATGTGTAAAGGGGATGTAATGTTGACCCAGGATTAATAAACCCGTCCCCTTATTAGGGTGGTGGTCCCTCCAAAAGTGGTCTGAATCCAACCACTAAGAGGGGACACCCCCAATCAAAATCAACCAGGGATTTATTCATCAAGGCTCCTTAAAAGATACATTTTGCCCATTTGAAACATGGCTTTTTCCACCAAAATAAGGGGAAACCACCATTTACCAGGCAATGTTCAGGTGTATGATGTAAGGATCCCTGTTAACCCGGGGTTGACATTTTTGGGACACCAGTCCAGCGAGGTAATGCGGGAGCGGAGCAGTGCACCTTCCGGCAGCCCGTGGCGAGCCCCATCACACTGGCACTGATCAGCACCCACTACTTCGAGAGGAAGGGGGCGGGTCCATGAGTCCATCTGACTTGACCTTTTGCTTGGATCTTTACACGTTACTTCCATTTGCTGAAATGACTATTTAATTGTTATTTTCCCCTGTTGGTTTTAAAGGGAATCGATTTCACTACTGGCAGCATGTTTATTTTGTTTAGGGGTCTTAACCAAATGGAAGGCGAACTTGCTGGAAAATGATGGAACCGGTGTTTTTTACCGCCTGCGCAACTAAAGCTAAACGTTTTGCACCGGGGGCACTGTCGCCAGCTGGGGGCAAGACGGGCTCAGGCATGAAGGCCCCTCGCTTCAGGATTCCATGCTTGTGATAGTAATTCGCCCAGGTCCAAGTTC